GATGAACAAATCTTGTTAGTTCAGAAAAACAGAAAATAATAATAACAAAAGTTTAAGTTTTTTTTGATATCATAGGTGAATTCCTGGAAAATTCAGTATGTATAAAACTCATGCAGTAAATCTTTGTGTTTATATGTGAAACAGACTCAGCTCACTATAAATGGATTTTTTTTTTTACCTACATGAATATCCAGAGGAATAGTCAAAATTTATATAGGATACAGGACAATTTTTTGTGTGAGGCAGAGCCTTGACAAGCATTGGAGTAGGTCTGGGGTATCTGATTTTACCTGTTGAATTTGAATATAACCCTTTCATAATGTAACTTTACAAATGCAGGCTAACATTTTCAACAGTGCCTTCTAGGGACTGGTACTACTTTCAGTGAAGTCCACGTTTATATCCTGTACTATTAGGTTTTTGTTCACTACTGTAATCTAGCACCTAGCACTGTGTCTGGCACATAGTAATTTAATAAATTGTTCTTTAGTGAATGAACACAAAGGTGTTCTTTTGACTTAACATAGTGTTTTTCATCTTCTCTTTGACATGGACCCACAAATGTGCATTCCAGCCTGACCTCTCTTATGAGCTCAAAAAAAAATCCATTAAAAATGGAATTTCAACATTAGACTTATATTATAAAGAGGAAAAATTCATTCATCTGAAAGTACCTGAATCATTCAAACATAGACCTGGGTACAAAAGTAAAGTTTAGTAATAACAGAAGATACATTCAAGAAAGTGAAGCCCCGTGTCAAAAACTGTAGCGGTGGTTTGGTTTTTGGTCTTTCAGAGCTGGTGTTACATCAAATTGTTAAGGAAAACTTAACTTGCTGTTGTCACCTTTGTAAAACTTGAGGAAAGTAGTTATTCCTCTTTGACTTCAGTCTGGGGATACTGAGTGTTCAGTCTTTGACCCTAAGAACTCAATTATTACTTTAATTCAGTTATCAGAAGCCCTGACAATAGGTTTGTTAGCTCTTCACCTCCACTGCGACCTTGAGTCTTCATAGTTTTGTGTCCATTGTACCCTCTCAGGCTTCCGGAGACTCCCTGCCCTCCCTGAGACCTTCGGTTCCTTCTTCCATTGACATCCAGCCATTTTTAATCTCCAGCCTGCAATCTGTTGACTCTTTCCTCTCCAGTCGCAGATTGTTGAAAGTTGCCATATGGTTAAAAAAGGAAAACAAAATCCAAAAAACAGGAGAGAGGGTATAGCTCAAGAGGTAGAGTGCATGCTTAGCATACACAAGGTCCTGAGTTCAATCCCCAGTACCTCCTCTAAAAATAAATAAATAGGTAAACCTAATTACCTCCCCTGACAAAGAACAAACAAATGAAAAAGAAAAAAGAAAAAAAACTCAAAAGACATGGTAATTGGTTCCACTTAAAATTCAGACTTTTCCGCATTCTGACGTCACTGCCAAGAGTTTGTATTTAGTTTTACTATCAAGGTTGAAACTATTCAGTCTGTCTTCCCTAATGTTTTTTTCATGTCTACCTATCATTACGTGCATTGAGACTATCTTTTAAATACTCCACATTCATCTATAAGTGCTCCTCTTTTATGTGTTTTTTTTAAAATTCTAGAAACATATTAATTAGACCAGATATGTGATATAGCATAACAAAGCACCAATGGTCCCAGAAAAGAGACTCAAACTGAAGAGCCTTATGGCAAGAATCCCCTTCTTGCCTCTCAGACAGTCACATTTATCACCAGTGCACAAGTTCAATGCTAACTTATTTTGTAATTCTTCCTGCAGTTGCCCATTTGTAATTAATCATCCCTTCCTTTCATTTACCATAACCCTTTATTTTGTGTATTGTCTCTCAAGTGCACCTAGTATAGTATCTGAGATGAGCATCTCTCTTTTCTCCCTTAATTTGTGGTGTCTTCAAGACTGAAAACTAGGAGACGTAGTGCAGAGATGAAATAGTCAATGATTATTTATTGAATAAAAGTAGACTTATTGGTCTTAGAAATCATGGGTGGGAGGAAATAACATTTTCTTAAAAAATTAAATATAGGTAGCAAAGAGGAAAACTGCAGAGCAATGAACTAGAACAGTGTGGTGCCAGCCCTGTAGGCGAGCCACCTTGCAGCAGGTGCTCCAACTGCACACAAGCCTTTATGCTAAGTACAGCCACAGTCAAACTGTCCACTGCAGCCTGATGAGACTGAGTCAGAACTGCTCAGTTAAGCTGTTCCTGAATTACTGGCCCACAGAAATAGTGTGGATACTACATTTTTATTATAGTTGTAAGCCACTTAGTTTTGTGGTAATTTACTATACAATGGATAACTAGTACACCCCTTTTTCCTAATGAATCTAGTCCAGTGTGACATGGACTATCTTCTGTAAATGCAGAAGAAATAAGCTGTGAGGAGAAAGCCCTCAGTGAATAATTTTAGATTAGTACCTGATGCATTATTGTCCCCAGAGTTACATGGATTTACAGCTCCACTGTACCCATGACGTTTGGGAACACCGGAAGTGATAGTTACAAATAAGCACTCATTTAGAACATCTCCCACTGTATCCTAACAATGTAATTGTCTCTGTCATTTGTTTGTCGACATCATTAACTGCTTTAGGTTCTAGTTTAATGGACTGAAGTAGAGCCCATTTTTTAGTGCCTCATGGGTGACACTACTGTGTAGCCCGGGCTGAGAATCACTGAACTGTCTTCTGATTGTTATATTTTTATGCTCCCCGTTGGAATCTAATGTACTGCATAGCAGTGAGCATGCTTTTTATCTCTTAGCATAAAATTTGGCACAGTGCCTGGGATAGGGTAGGAAAGCAATAACTATTTGTTTATTGATCTTATGCACCACAATACATCTTGAAAACAAATTCAGAAGAATGTTGAAATATCTGTCTCAGAAATGAGTCAGTGACAGTTAGCAATAGGAGTAAAACCAGACAAAGTTTAGTAAAGGGAGGACCAGGGGTAAAGGGAAGGAGGGCTTTTCAAAGGTAGTGCACTCTTATCCGTGGGGACTGATTAAAAAAAAAAGAAAAATGAAAAAAAAAAAGAAAACAGCAAGCACAAAAAGAGAAAGAAGGCAAGAGTTGGGCAAGACACTGCTAGCCTAACACAAGTGTCGTGGTCTCCAGAAAGTTCTCAGGAAAGCTTTTAAATCCAGTGTTCTGAAGGTGTTCTTACTTTTGAAAACCATAGTTCGTGGCACCAAGATTCTGTGTCATTCATTGTGTCTGGGTTATATTATATTCTTATAGAAGTGGTCTAGAGGAAACCAAATGATAGTGTTCCAGATTGCTACAAAGCCTTTGATATATTGGATGTTTTCGACATTAATGTTAGCTAGTGGGAGAAAAAAGCTGTGAGATTTTTCAGAAGGGTTGTACCGATGAGAGCCTGTTCAGCTTTCTCCATTTATCCTCAGTAAATTGTGTGTAGCTGTCTACAGGCTTGTCACAGTGCTTGCCAAAACGTTGATTACTTTATGTTATAGTTAGAAAAGTTCAGGTTCACAATTATGGTCTTCTCTTCCATTTTTTACATCAAGACTAGTCTCTCTGAAAGAAATAGTAATAGCTTAGAAGACTGTTTCATTGTAGAGATATTAATGAGGCAGATTCATTGTGATTCCAGACAGTAGATAAAACAGTTAAAAGCAGCAGAAATAATGCTAGGTTTACAAGCAGTTATTATAGCTAAGATTAAGAGTTCATCTAGATTCCCAAGAAACAAATCTAGTAGGCAGCAAAGGATACGATATGCTTTTATGGGCTGCCAAGTATTGCAGAAAGCTTCCAGTATGTATTGTTTGTTGATGCATATTTCCATTGCTAAATCAAAATATTTATAGCAATAGGTAATGAGTAGATTGTCATTTTTAAACTACAGAGTAATAAAAATGAAAAATAAACGGATTATTAGCTGAGTCCAGCAGCATAGTAACTGCCTCTTACTGGGTTCTTCCCTCATCTACTTTCTCATTGCAGACATTGCGAATCATCTTAGAAGGCTGCAGGGATGTTAGAAAAATTTGTTCAGAAACAGTAATAAAATTACAGTATTCTAATGACTGATTTTTCTGGGATGAATTTTCCACTTTTGTTTTATGAGATTGCCCAGACCAAGAGAATAAATTGCATTTAGTGCAGTCTCTCAGGGAGAAATGTGTCTCTTTTTTTGGAAAAGAGAAGTGGACCGTCTTGTATCATTCAGTTTGTTAATGTACTTGTTCCTATACCTCAAAGTGATATCATAAATTATAAAAATGTGATTGCATGCTCTCTTGCCACTCCTGGAAAGAATTCGTGGACAAATCCTTCATTAAAATAGCATTATGAGTTTAGCTTGCACTAGAAAATTTAAATAAAGACACGAATATACTCATCATTCCCTTGTTAATGTCAGAGAGAATGATTGTAAGAGAGAGACAGAGAGAGATCTCACTTAGGCACACATGTGCTTCCTTCTTATATTTGTGTTTTTTTTTCCTTGTGTAACCCATAAGCCTTTAACAGTCTTAAATGCAAATTCATTTTTCTTTCTGGTTTTCAAAAAGAATATATTCCTCTGGGAGAAGGTGACTAAATTGAAGCAAGCCTAGGTTTAAATTATGATTTCTAAAATACTAATTTTTTATGAAGTCTTTACCTAAATCCTTAGACTAAAGTCATTTGGATGAAATCTGGAGCCAGTGATGGATTTATGAACCTTTGGATTCAATCTCTCCAAACATATTTCTGACTAGAAGGAGCTTTGTTTTATTTCATCCATTGAATGTGAAAGAACGTTGTCCTCTAAATATATATTTCTGTGAGAAATGGTGCATCCCGGTGACAAGTGTTAACTGGAAGCTCTATGACCCATTTCCAAAGTAGTGCAGAAAGGAGTGTGTGTTCCATACTATCAGGTCCTCAGCTGTGGGCTTTCATGACGCTTCATTCTGATAGCACAGGGGCCGTGCTATCCACGGGCAGCCGCTGGGGAGTGTTGGCCAGTCTATGCACCTCTGTGGCTCTGGGGACAAAGGCAAGCCTTTGTGTCTTTGGAGATATACCTACGCTTTACAATTCACTAAATGTATATACTGACAATCGACCACCTAGCCAAGGGGGTTCTTCAGAAGAAAGGAATCATCCAGTGTAACTAGGTAGAACTTTCAAAATGTGTGCAACCACGTAAAATCTGAACCTTGAGACCTCACACCAAGCAAATATTTTAGCACGATCCATACTAAAGGGAGATCTAGAGTGTTTTGTTTGTTTGTTTTTACCATTGCATCTTAATGATGCCCTGAATAGTAAAGTGCTGCTTCTTTGGTGCCATCAGCTGTCAAGAGTGATGTTTCTGCTCAAAGTTGGGCAGCAAAATAAACAGGTTAAAAAATTAGGTGTCTATGTATTTTTGAAAAATCATTAAGTTGTCTTTAGAAAACATAGTTGCTTTTAAAGAACCATTTCTTCATTAGGCTATGAATATCCAAAGAGGTTGGGAAGAATTAAAAAGAATAATTGATGATGAGAAAATACAAAGGAGACTTTGGAATTACATATGGTTACAGTCGGGAGAGCAACGGAACGAAACATTAGAGCAGTGTTTCTCCCCTACCTGTGACGCTGGCTAGCTGTGTGACCTTGGACAAGTCACTTTACCCCTGGAGCTTCATCCTGTAACATGTGTAGACTGGATTAAATGCTCTCGATGATCCATTCTTTTCCTAACAACCTCAGACTTCCTATGAATGAGTGTGCCAACAGCTGGAGACTGTTTCTTTTGTGCCTTCATAAAAACCTTGAAGAAAGGGATTGTTCCAGATCAAGCGACATGACAATCAAGTGCAAAATATGATTCTAGATTGGGACAACTGGTGAAATTGGATGGGACTGGATTTGATGGTAGTATCATTTTTAAGATAATTTCCCAATTTATCAGGTTTTACTGTGATTTTGTAGGGAAGTGTCCTTGCCTTTTAGGAAATACACACTGAAGTATTGACAGTGTATCACATCTGCAACTTACTCTCAGTTGGTTCTGGAGATAGTAATTGTGTATGTGTGTGTATTTATACCTCTTTTGGGGTGGTTGTGTAGACGTAAATTTCTATTTCATTCTAAACTTACCTGCATAATATGTAATTACTACCCTTTAAAAAAATAAAGAAACAAACCTAATTACCACTCTCAAAATTAGAAATAAGTAAAAATAAAAATAAAGCCCCCAGGAAACCCAAAGCTTCAGTATTTTAAATTGCTGTTTGGTGATGGCAGAGCCCCATGGATGATCTGAGGGCTTGGGGTTTTCACAGCCCATGTCCACAATGATGCAGGTGAATGCACAGGGACGGTAGGAAATTGACCATAGAATGAAGAAAAAGAAATTGTCGAGAAACTTCTAGTGCAGCTGGATACAAACTATGAAGAGACAAATGGCTCAGCTTCATAACCAATCAGAATTTCTTTTTCTATTGAAAAGGTGACAAATAGATGTGGAAAGATGAACTTTTTACATTTTTTATTATTTGCTCTAAAATGGAGATAAATAGCAAAGGATAAATAAATCTGTGTCATTTTCTTTGATATCGTTTTTTTTAATGAAGTTAAGTTTTGGATCCTTTAACTTGGAATGCTAAAAAGCAAAGTGGAGTTTTATGACTAGACTTTCAATAAGGCATTTAAAATATCTTCATTTTCTTATGTTGTAGTCCACAGGCTAATGAGCGGTTTGATAGGTGTCGAGCAGCTGTGATAGCAGCATGTCTCTTTATTTATTGATGAAAATCCCAGTGGAGAATTGTGTCTGGAATAGAAAAATAGCTCAAACCATGTCAGTGCTGAATGGGAGAAAATATACAAAGGGGAAAAAAAGCTTGCAAGAGAGAATTTGTAATCTGCTGATCAGTGGTGTCATCTTTAGAAAGAAGTCATCAAGGATGAAAATGTGAGATTTGGAGATTAATGGAAAAGTAAAACTTTCTTAAAGCAAAACATCAGAAAAAAACAATAATACTGTGAGGGGGAAAGGTTGCATTATTTTAGTGTCTTTAATATAGAGACAATAAACAGCATTACATTTTAAGTTAATTAAAAGATGACTCTGATTCATCAACTTGTTGTGCTAGAAGCTGCCCTGCCCAATACCTATTCCAACTTTTTCAGTTTTGGATCTGGTATCCAAGTCCCAAAGAAACTACTTGATTAGATGTCCATGATCAATTGATTAGTTAATGTACAGGTAAGAATGTGTCCCCAGACAGAACTTCAGCTTCTCAGTCAAGGGCCCACTATGCTCCCAGCCCCTTCCCTAGATGACAAAATAGGATGGAAAGGTATTTGAACTCAACAACATTGGTCGTTGCCAACAAGCATTGGCTATTTGACCAGGGTTTTCAAATTTCTGAGATATAGTCTATCAAGAAAATTCTGTGTATGCTACTCCAACACTTGATAAAGCGTTTTAAAATAGGAAAGTGGGAGGATAAGAACAGTATTAAATTTATTAGTTGAGAGACTATAGATGCACTTTCTGTGTATATGAAATGTGCTTATATACATAATAACTGTACATCTGCCCATATTCTATATATTTTCTTGTCTTGCCTCCATATTGATTGTACCAATAATAAATATATCTGTGTTCCTTGATTAGGAAGATGGTAGGCATGGGGTAGAAAGAAACCATAGAAAATTATTTGATCTTGAGTCACAAAATGGGACTAGCATATTAGATGATAATCCAAATGTTACTAAAATTTAAACAATATAAACATACGTTCTTTGCCATGCTACTTTTAACGGTGTTAAGAAACTTCTCTGGAATTCTAATCAGTAACGATGTTTTAACATTATATATAAAAAAAAGAAATGTCTTAAAGCATTTCTCAGCTATAGAAGTTAGAACAATTGTTAGACTTCAGGGAGTGATTCTACCACAGTCACAGATACAGTAAGAAATGGCATCTAAAGATTTGACTCCAGACAGTATCGCTAACGTTATATTCTGCTTTCGCATTCCTTTCTACTGGTTTGAGAATCAGAATAGAAACTGTTAATATTATATTTTAAATCATTAATATTTTTAGTTGTTTCAACAGAAATAGAAAGTTGGATGATGGTACAATTCCATTATCAAGTAGTATTTCTGTCTTTCTTCTAGAAGAGTTACTCTTGGCCAGTTACTGCCAGTTTCTTAGTCTACACAACAGGATAAGAAGCAAATACGGAAATGTCTGGCTGGAAGGGGAGAGAGGGGTGAAAATCAAAAATAATGCCAGGGGGAAAAGCTGTCTTTGTAAGATTACCTCTTCCCCATTATGCATAAACTGGTAAATATTTTAAAGAGCCTTTTTCTCCTCACTATCTAAACAGAGCACTAGTATTAATAGGACATTTTAAAAGTGATATTACAAATATGCAGTGTAATAGACCATTAGTCTATAAAATGCAAATGGCCTTTGAAGTTTAGTACAAAATGCAAAATCGCTATTGAGACACTGCAGTTTGTTATATTATGAGCAAAGATCATGCATAATGCAATGGGGAGAAAGGGAGCAGCCCGATCACGCACAGTCATTTCAACTCAATTCTGTGGACATGAAGAATTGATCTTAGAAGTCATCTCTGATGAGGTTTGGCTGGGTCCGAGTAGCTTCTCCAGGGGAATATGTTTGGTTCTCGTTTTGCATCCTCTGCATATTTATAGGATACAGAATAAGAATGATTTTAATTATGCACGGACTGAAGTTCAGCTCTTGATATATTTGAGGTTTTAACTGTTCAGGTGAAACCGTTCAAACCTCCACAGATTATCCAGTTGCTCTCTCATTGGGCACGAAAAATGGTTGTGCAAACCCTTCATCTGCAGAGCCAATACTAAGTTGATGACACTTTTATTCTCCCCAAAGATCGCCTCAAATTGATCGTAAAGTGAAGTTTTATAGCTTTCATTCTGTCAATTAAAGTTGTTTTCAGGAAGTATAAAAACGTGTAAAGTTAATTGTTATCCTTTAATGAATGGAAAGGGGAAAATAGAAGATCACAAACAAATCTCTCTAAATTGGGCTAGTCCGTGGGTGTCCCTTTGGATCGCCATCATTAAATGAACCTCTGATTCATCCTGAATTCTTGTAAAAATTTCTTAGAGAAACCCATTGCTTTGGAAATCACATAGATTTTTCCAAATTGAGTAAAGTAAAACCCAGGGAAGTTAAGCAACTTATTCAATGTCGTAGAGCAGAGATGATACTCCAAGTTTTCTGACTTCCAAACAGTCTCTTTCAAAGGGAAATGTCGTATCTAGAATGTTAGTCCATTTGTAAACTGTGGCACTTAACTGTTATTTTAAAGTTGAAGGATGGAAGAGTAAAGACGTTGAAATAAGTTCCTGAACTTTTAATAAAATTTAAGGAAAATGTGTAGCCCACCTGTGGCATAAGCGTAGCTAGAAATTATGGATTTGTATTCCTTTGTTTGTAATTGAAATTTAGCCTTTAGGATAAGGTCGCAATATGGTGAAGTGATGCTTAAAACATCAAGAGAGTGTCCATACAAGATACCTGGAGTCTTTCATTGGCTGCTGGAACACTAGTGAACTACTGCAGCCTTCAAACTAAGCTATGGATAATTAACACAGGCATAGACAAGTTTGAAAGTGGGACGTCTTGGGAACACAAAACCAAGACATAGATTAGCTCAAATCAGTTCATATTTTGATGAATTTCTGTAACATCCACTTGACCGCTACTTAACTGAAGCCAGACTTCCTGAGTCCAAGCGCAGTTCAACCATATTCTGATTGAGTGACCAGCATAGCCAGTTAAATTGGTCAACGCGTCACTCAATTCATAGGTTTGTCGTTAAGACAAAAGGAGTTAAAGTACGTAACAGACAGGTAGTAATTACTTGCATAAGTATCAGCCATTACTGACATCACTGCTTATAGTGATATTATTGTTATCAGCAGTGCAGCTTTTCCAAATTAAAAGAGAATATGTTCCTTGAGATCCATTTGTGATCCCAAAATGATAATGGACATAAAATATTAAAAGAAAATTATATGACTTATTGACCTCATTATTCTGTGAGTATCTTACTATTAACTGAAAAATTTTATAGTTGATACCATTGAAGTACTTACTAATCCCAGTGCTTAATATATAGAAGGTAAGTTTCCAATTTAAAAGAAAATTAGATATATTAGTGGGACCATAAATTGCAAGCTTTATTCAGGGCAACAACAGCGGATGCACTGATTTAACAATTTTTGCATGTTGTCAGTGGTGGCTGAAGAGAGAAAAGTCTACCCAAGGCTACATATGATATTGATCAATATTATGCCACAGTTTATGAATATCACTAAAAAATGCTATGAAACAAGAGGCAGAAAGAAATGGTAAATGGCTGAGCAGTTGTACCACAGTTTTGTTTAATACGTAAAGGAAGAAGTTATAAGATGTGCGTTGGACAATACTGGAGCATGTGCAAACTCTAAAAACTTTATTAAAAGCTGAATTTGATGTATTTAGAGGAACTCAGATGTTGAAGTCTTTCATATCAGAGTTTTTGTTTTGAAGCAATTTCTTTCATCAGTGTTATGCTACCACTATTCTGTTGTTGGTGAAGATAGGAAGGAACATCAACAATTGAATTATTTTTTTATGAGAATGAATAAAGCAAACATGTTAACTAATCAAATTAAGTCCAACTGAATAATAACAAGAAAATAACATTGTTGCACAAGAACATTGACTCTGTAGCAAAAGGAAAATACGCTCTTTAATACAAGAGTAGTTGCCTTATGAATCACGCTGGGTTTAAGTATCCTTCAAAAACATTTCAAAAGGGATGTTCCAAATAATAGCTCAAAATGTCCCTTTTAAAATATTTATTTTTACTACAAAGTATGTATACATTATTCCAAGTTTTTTGTCTGTGTGCAGATTTATGCATTATGTTACAAAATAATATTATATAAACTATTTTGGAAATGTCTATGACAGTTACTAATAGCTCAGAAATACATACCCATGTCATTATATTGTGTACCATTATCATCATTCTAGATTGCTATGTAGTATTTTATTGAATGGGTGTTCACTGATTTGCTTAATCAAATTATTTTCGGAATGTATCTGAAAGACAAATGTAATTATAGCAGCTTTACATTAAACTCTACAGTCAACCTATTAAAAAATACATTTTATGCTTCAAAGACAATGGTACTATAATAACCATGAAAAAGCTAACTATTGTCTAAATCAGATTTCTTATTGCATTGAATAATATAACCTCATCTGATGTGTAAATGAATTAAGTACTAAAATTGAGTAAATATTTATAACTCCTTCTGGGATATAAATACAGTTTTTTTTGCAGCTACAGATAGAACCACTAAATAGAATGTATGACAATTATAGATCTTAGAAACCAAGTCCTACTTTGGATAAAGTTCTATTTTAGAATGTTATTTTTTCAAACTTT